GTTAAATTATACAGCAGGAGTTATTTCCCTTTAACCGTTATTTGAATTAGTTAAGACTTTAAGGAAGAATAATTTTTTTCTCTGGACTCACAGAAAATATTTCAGTTCATGAAATAATAGTAAGTTTCAATGGAAAGAATGTTCTTTGATAAGAAGGTGTTGTAGGCTGAAATTCAGTGTAAAATGAGTTCAAAGAAACTTGTTGATTGAGGGAAAATGTAATCTTCATTTGTATATCAAAAAGTCGAATTAACTTGCCGCTTATGGTTGTTCACCAAAGATAGTTGAATATGAGTGAAAGAATTCTGGAAAGCTGAGAATATGTTGAATCATAACATATAGCTCCAGAAAGTTGAATAAGTTTCTGTGTCAGAGGTCTGCAATGTTTGTACGAATGTGTATGTTCGTGCATGTCATAGCATCAAGGACAGACACAACCTTTCTCTGCTGGACGACATGGTTGGTAAGCAAGAGAAGCAAAAAGAGGAAGAGTGAAGATTTACTACGTATTTATAATCAACATGGTCACATGGTAGGCTCCAGAGAGCATTTCTGATTTTGGTGGAAAAGTGGTTTTCAATAACACATTGTGTTGCTGCCAATCTGAACAGGTCAACCACATGGACATAGGTGAGAACATGATATTATAATTAATTGACCAATGAGGAGTCAGAAAAATAGTAAGGCAGGTTTTTAACTCTATGATCCACTTTTTGCACAGATTTTTGTTGATCACAGTGCTGTTACATAGGAAATGTATTGGAATCTTTTTAACCAATGGGATTAGACCACAAATAAAATATTTTTAAATTAAAGTAGGACACTAAAAAGTATGTTTGTCATTCTTTTTTCTTTCAGCCATTCCATTCCATCTTTGAAGTACTGTGTTTTATATCATGGATATAATAATGTCCATCATAGGGGAAATACAAATGAAAGAATAAATCTTTTTTTCACAGCCTTTTCTCATTAGAAAAGCAAGAAGCTGGAATAAAGTTCCATAAGTGAGAAGTACAAGAGAAGAAACTATTGCAAGTTAATTTTTCAAATGGGATTTAAAATTTGCTTCAAAACTTGATTTTATAAAATCTGTCGCTTTTGTAAAAATGAAAAAAACAAAAAAAAATTTTTTTAAGTATTTATTTTTACTGAATCAACATTGAACATTTTTGCCTGCAGTGCTAATATTTTTGATTGAGCTGTATTTACAGCAGAAAGGGTAAAACCTGTTTTTCCAGAATTTCTAAAGTAGTAATGGGTTGATGATAACACAATAATACTCATCAGGCTGTCTTGTTAGTTATGCTAGTTGGTTTGGTTTTTTCATAACAGGCACAGTCTGTAAAATAATTCCCTGAGCATCAAATGATTCAGCCCCCAGATTATAAGCTTTAAGTTAAAGAGATCAGGTTTGGGTTTTGAATGAAAGGTGATATTCATTTCCTGCTGTTGAATATGATTTTTTTTCCTATGAATAAATACTTATGAGGGCCCTGTTACTCATTAAGTTAAACTTTTATTTATATACTAGCAAAAAGGTTAATCATAGAATTAGCTCTAAACACAGTGAACTCTGCATGTCTTTATGTTGTAGCTTGTGCAATGTATCTGTGAGAAACATTGAGATAGTTGTTGTCAAATTACATACAAAGATATTGGTCATGTTGGTGCATAAATATGAAAGATTTACTTGAAATACATTAGACCATTAGAGAGAAATCTCTTTAATAGACTTTTCTATTATCTGAAGGTTTGAGATAACAACAGACAAGAAACAAAGCCTTTAGGAAGACTTCATAACCGAGAATAGGAAGTTGAAATGGTATAGCTATGTTACAAGAGCCAAAAATCTTTCCCCTACCATCCTACAAGGTACCACTTTTGGCAAAAGAGACAGAAGAAAAAATGGTCTGACAACATCACTGAGTGAACTGGAAGATCCTTTACAGAGACTCAGATATTGGCATGCAACCGAGACATTTGGAGGGAGCTGGTCATAGCTCTCCTGTATAGAAAGCCTATGACCACACCTGGATGATGAATTGACTTTTTATTATTACAATACTTTACTGACTGTATACAACAATTATAAGTGTGGAAAGTGGAACTGATGATTTAAGTTCAAATTCTAGCCTAGTCTGATGTGTTAACTTTTGAAATAATGCCCCTTGGAAAAATATGAACCCATCTCTTCTCTCCCACCCAAGCTATGGGTTAGATAGGAGGATAGGCTTGATTTTGTAGCTTAAGTGAAAGAAAAGAGATGAATCAAAGAATTTGCTGTCTTCTGAATGGGAGTAGATGTTTATTCTTTGCTTAGGATTGAGTTTTCAGTTCCTTCTAAAATATTCTCAATATCTTTTACTCCCAGTAGCTCCATGCATGTTAGTTGAATTATCACCTTGCTTGAAATAAACTGATTACACCCACCCACCAAAAAAAAACAAAAACACAGTGAACTCTATAGGTCTATATATTTCAGCTTGTGCAACATATTCATGAGAAACATTGAGATATTGCCCAAATTGGTGTAGAGGAGGAGAACATTCATTGCTTTTGAAACAGGAGAAGAAAAAGGATAAAAAGAAAAGAAAAGAGAAGAAAAAGAAGAATAAAAGGATAAGAAAAAAAGAAAAAGGATAAGAAAAAAGAAGAAAATGAGGTTGCCTCATGAAAAGACAAATTTAACGGCTTATTAATCAGTTGGTATTAAAACTTTGCAAGCATCTGAAAGCAGTCTATATATTTGTAAATTCTGTGATACTCATGTAGCAAATACAAATCAGCATTTTCATTGTAGGAAATTAAATTAACTCATAAATGGAGCAGCTGTTTTTGTTATTTGATACATACTGGAATTTCCAGAATAAGTATGGAACATGCAAATCTCAAATAATTTCAATCTAAGTCAGTAATGGTTTGTCATAGAATAATTCACACACAAAAAAAATCCCCCCAAAAATCAATGTTAACCATGCCATTTAGATGCGTGTGTAACAAGATATATAAATAAAAAATTATCTTTAGAAGTGAAATACACAGTTGTGGATAATAATTAATTATGAATTGAAGTGAGTATATATAATAATATTTTTTGTTTAAAAATATGATTCCTTTGTTACATAAGAGTTCTCATGTTTCAAAAATGAGGGCCGAAATCATCCAAATAATTATTAAAATTAAGTTGGATTGTGGTGTTTAGTCCCGTTTCATCTTCAAGCGAAATTTTAGGAATAAGCTATCTCTCGGTTTACGTGTGTTTTTAGGCACGGTCCATTACAGAATTCGTTATTGTGGGATTGGCTAGACTATTTCCCTTCGTTAAGTGGTCAGAGAGTTAATTCTTATTAATAGATTCATCATCTTCTGAGAGGTTTTGCTAAGGTTGGGTAGGGTATCTATTTCAAGGCTAATGTTTGCGGTCACCCTTTAGTTAGTTCCACACGTTTCTGTATACCTACGCACTTATATATATATATATATATATGTATGTGTGTGTGTGTTTGGGCAGCATTTCCTCTTTTATATGTTTTATTAACTTGATATAATGATATACAATATGACTAACAAGATGACTCTGGTTACATTTCCCTGACCATAGCTCAATTAGGTCTCATTAAAATATACATGGAGACCTATCAAACTATTCACAATATACTCATTGAAAATAAAAATATAATAGCCTTGTCCACATGTAAAAAAAGGCTATGAATAATGGAAGCATTATTAATAAAAAAGAAAAAGCTAACAATAAAATCAACTATGAACATGGCCATAATGTGCTGACAGTGTTTGAGAAATAAAACATTCCTATAAGTCTGGATAAATAGATAAAACAATCCATACATTCAGTTAAAAGTTAAAATAAAATCATCCTTAATAATGGCTAAAAGTATATCCGAAAGCGCTCGGACATAAAAAAAACATTTCTATATAATTTATGTCCAGAAAAGAAAAAAATTATAAGTATATCACAAGAAAAATTAAATAAAGAAATCAACCACAGTACATGGTCAGCCGTTTTTAATGAAACTATATATATATATATATATATATATATATATATATATATATATATATATCCACTTTTATTGTTATTGATTTGCATTTTATGGCTTTTTGTCAACATTTTGAAGGTTATTTAAAGAAGGAGATAATAATGATTTACTAATAAGTCCTGATAACTTATGGGGAAGAAGAGTTGGATTCATGCCTTCCTCAAGGGTATGTAAGGATTATTATCTCCCTTATTTGAGATAGTCAAATGATGGATGCTTAATGGCATCACTTCATGCAGTGACAAAATTGATTATTCATTCATTTCATTTATAGTAGCCAAAATGAGTGGTTGCATTTTGGGGGGTGGGGTGGGGGGGGGGCTCAGACTGCTCAGCCCAAGCTGAGGCTAAATATACCTCCCTCAGCAGCATGGTGTAATTTCCCTTTGGGAATATATTTTCTCCAGATATAGAAAGAAACTCTGACACACAGTTCTCAATTTGGGGAAACCCAAGACTTGCCATTTCCTGTTCATGGAATATGTCCTCACCTGGGACATATTAGATGAATCCCATTTGTTTGAATTTGGAGTCCTAAACATGGCTTCTCCTGAAACACAGAAGAATCTCTAAATTATATGTAAGGCCCTATCTTTTAGTTCTCTTTTCACTCTGCTTGAGTGTAGATATGTTATATTTTTCTGTGTGGGACATGTGTAAATATGTATATATAGTTTTGTGTATGTCTTATTGGTATAAAAGTCTCTCTGAGAACAAAGCATGTTTGTCATTCCTTTTCCTTTCAGCCATTCCATTCTGTCTGTGGAATATGAGGTTATTATATCATGAACATAATTCCCATAATGGGGGAAATGTAAATATAAGAGAATAAACCTTTCTTCCAAGCTTTTCTGTTATATGTATTTGTAACAAAACCAACTGGAATTGAAAAGGCTCTCCAATCCTGAGCTGTTATCCATTATACTACCAACACATTCAATCTTACAGCACCTGGTATTCCTAAATGATCACCCATCCAGGTACTGACCAGGCTTGACATTGCTTAACTTCAGTGATTGTATGAGAACAGGTGTTTCAATGTGATATGGCCGTAAGCTCCACTTCTGTTTAGACACTTCAAAAGGTTAAAGGATTCAAAATTTCACAGACTTGGCTAAACAGATTTTTATTGCATTATTAAATAGACTTGAAGATTGTTAGAAAAATAGTCACTTTTTAAATTTGATAGCTTGCACTTATCCACAGCTCTATAGACACTTTGATACCAATTAAAAAGGACTTCCTTGATTTAAGTTCTGTTCTTTACCTTCTAAATAATTTTACTTCTTAGTAAACAAAGTTACTAAGAATGACTTATAAAATGGCATAACTGACAAGAATTTATCAATCATAAAAAGTTGTACAAAAGAATATCCATTAAGAACAGATATTTCTCATTTCTCTCAATTTCATTTATAAAAAAGACTAGAATTATTTTATTATATCAATTTAGTAATTTTTAAAGATGGCATTGGAACTGGAACTTGGCTCTCTGATCTCCAATTTCAAGCCATCATCCATTAGACCACCTGCACATACAAGCTTATAGCACCTGGTATTCCCATGTAGTCACCCATCTAGGTACTAATCAGGTTTAACATTGCTTAACTTTAGTGAACATATGAGAACTGACATTTCAATGTGATTTGCCCATAAGCTTATTATGTGTAAAAATTGAGATATAAATGAATATATCTGTAAAGACAATACTGATAACCAAAAAAAAAAGAAATGACAAGAGGAAAATTTATTTTTGAAACAGGTTACGTTCCTTGAAAAAACTTCATCAAATGCAAATGTAGAAAATTTATTGAGGAAATCTTTTGATGGTTTCTTCTTTGCAAGTTTTCAACATTTGCCATTGATAAAGTTCCTGAAGGAATGAAATGCATTGCAAAAATAAGTTTTTCTCTTGTAATTTCTTTTTATTAATACTTATTATCTACAAAAAAAAATAAATGTGGTCTGAAATTTTTTTCTGACCAGACATCTTGGCTTTAATCACTTTCCCACTACTGTAATGTGCTTTAATGTAATGGATCCTTTTTTTAAGCAGTCAGGGTGGATAAATACAGTGTGTTTTGTCATACTCTTGCTCTACTGGGAACATTTGTGATTGGCTCTGACATTTTAAATTTTATTTTATACTTTTTTGGTGATTTGTTTTATGAGCTGGCTGCAATGCTCAGAATCCCTGTGCAGAGAGCACTTTTTCTTCATGTTTTAATTTTGCTTTTAGTATTGTCATCTGGTAGATAGGTTTTTTTTTTATGTAGCTTTCCTGTGTCTTTTCTATAAATACTTTAATGTTATTTGTTTTGATGACCTTTCCCCTATGGTACCTAGATTTATGAATTTAAGTGCAGTACAGTTGAAATGTCCAGATGTAACTAAGTTCTATGCTAACAGTTTCTTCAATCTCACTTCTTGCTTGTGGAACTCTCTTCTGGTTTCTCACTTTTATCATCTTCTTAAATCTGCTCTTTTATTGTTCTTTCTGCTTAATGTTTTTTCCTCAGATTTTTTCACACTCAGTAACCCCTTTTGTTTTAGTGGCTTTATTGCTTTTGTTGATTTCAATTGTTAGTAGGAATGACTGCAAAACACTTGCCCCTCCCTATTTTACAGGTAGCAGCATGCAAATGCATGCTGGAGTTTTTCCAAGCAAATAAAATATGCCAATTCTTGGTTCCATCTGACTCAACGTTCTGACTTCAAGACAGACCAGGACTATGTCCACTTGTCTAAACTTGCTTTTGTGTGTCAACCCTAATTCTTAGTTTGTGTGTCAACCCCGAGTCTTAGTTTGTGAACTTTTTGCCATATTATTGTTGCTTTGTCTTATTACTGTTAATTTGCCTTGCATAAATTGTTTGTTTGCTTTATATTATTTTTTGCTCTGTTCTTTTCTTTTTCTTGTTATTGCAAGCTTTTTAAATTCTGTATGTTGAACAGTTATGTTACTTATTTTGCATTTAACCATGGATACTTACTCACAACTTTGCTTTTTAATCATTTCATTCCAAGCAAACCACAAAAAATGCTGCTTTCTGTGAATATTAGAATTTTAGAGTGCAGTAGACAATAACATTACTTGCAACGTTCAGACATGATGACCATGTGTCTATGTTTAAATGTAGTTTTAGAAGTTACCTTTAAAAGTTTCAGCTAAAAAAATGATTATTCTTGCAACACAACTCAAAATGGTTATCAGTATGGAAAGTAGAATTATCAAGCCTAATTAAAATTTAAACCTAGTCTATTGTGTTAACTTTTGCACAAATAACCTTTGGAATGACAAATCCATCTTTTCACCCTTTCAGCTATGGGTTAAATAACAGAGTAAACGTTGATCTCTAGTCTTAGGTGACACCAATTCTAAGAGAGACCCAGAATTATGGAAAAGTTAATGGAAAAACCACTTCTGTATCTTTCCCAAGAAGGCATTATAATTTATAAATAATAAAGAAAACTACCAGAAATTCCTTTTTTTTTATTATCTGTTAATTACAAAAAGACTATTGTACTCTTTTCTTATTTGGCTTGAGACCTTTTTTACATTCCCTCATATTTCTGGAAAAGTAGATAGATGTAAGTATGTAATAAAAGAAAAGTAGATAGATGTAAGTATGTAATAAAATATCATCAAATAGTTTCTTTTACTTCCTTTTTAGTTATTATTATTCTTTTTTGTTTTAAGGCATGTCTCTTCATGATGTAGCTGATTGCAACTCTCCAAGGATCACTTTCTTTATTATCTGTGAATTGCCATGACTTCTCATAAAAAATTGTTTCCTATTTCCTTATCTGTGGGTTTTAATTCATAGTTTTCCTCCTCTTCCAACACAAAGCTACTCTGCTGTAGTGTTCAGTTTCAAAACTTAGGATTTGTTTGTTGCATTTTATAATTTTGATAAAATTTTAATATTCCTTTGTGATCACCAATTTCTATAAAATCGTTGTTTTTCAATAAAATTCTTTATTGATAACAATTTGAGTATTTTAGATTAGTTAGTTTTATTCTATAAAGTATTCAAGGTAATTTACATGTTTTAAGTTTACATTTATATGACTATTATAGTAAATAGTAAAGGATGTATTGCAAATGCTTCAAGTGTAATTCAGAATTACTCATGTTTGTTTTTGTTTTTCCCCCTTGGTTAAAATGAGAATGCAAAACCTCAGCTTTTTAATTAAATGAAATATACACTTTTTTTTTTTACTCTTATTTAAGCCATATACTTATATATAAATCTGATTTTATTTTAAAGATAAAATAAAATGCCATGTCCCTTCAGGAGGTGGGTTGACTGGTCCCTAATACTTTTAAAGAGTATTAATCTGAACTTTTATGTTTTTCCAGTACAAAAAATTGAATGTTATAACTGCAATTTTAGATGACAGGATAAAATAAGTCGTGTTTCTTATGTAAGTAATATCTTCATAATTTTTCTATCATTGTTTTTATAGGAAATAATAACAAATGAAAGAGGAAGAAGTAGAACTGTTATTATTTTAAATAGGATCAAACTGGAAATGCAGAAACATGAGAGAGAAAATAGGACACAAAGTTTGAGGATTTTATCTATGGATGAACCAGAATATCTCATACAAGTGATCATTTATGATCTGTTAAACAATTCTTGGATGGTAAAATTTGCAAATATATAAAACACAATGAGAGTGAATACTCCACCATACTCAGACAGATATGTAGTTTTCATGTTTTCATGTAACAATTTTCAAAAAAACGTAAAGATACTACACTATAGTCCTCAGAAGAAGTACTTTTGATTCACAACAGAGGGGGGCACAGCTACTACACTCTAATCCTAGGTAGAGGTCTTGGAAGTGACACTTGGATCCCAGGCAGACCTCACATGTGCTCCAACACCAGACAGGCACATGCATGCATTCCGACCCCAGACAGACACATGCAAGCGCTCCGACCCCAGACAGGCACATGCAAGTGCTCTAACTCCAGACAGACCACACATGTGCCCTGAACCCAGACAGGTCACTTATTTACTTTGACCCTTAGCGGAATTTCTGGTTTATACATAAGGAATCCTATCATTGATGGGCACTATGCTAGTTTAAAAGTAAAGCTGTCAATTAACTGATTCTTTCTTCACTCTATAAAGAGACATTTTTTTTTTCGTATGAACTGATCTTCATTTGCAATTTCCTCATTGAGAACCACAGGAGAATAATAAATTAATTTTTGTGTATATAACATTTTACAAGATGGTTGCTTTTATCAAATATCCATGGGCTACCACCAAAAAAGGTTATTCACACATGTCCAACCAGATATTTTCTTAGAGTACATGTCACATTTATATAGGATCTTAAATTTATATGACATTTGCATATGAATACATTAGCATATGTTTGTTCAAATTAAAACTCATTTGTTTCAAGCTTAAACAAGCTAACCTTCAAAAAAAAGAAAAAGATGTTTAAGAATAATATGCAATATGTAAGCAGCATCAAATTTTATTGACAATGGAAATTATATTGAATGCATGCTTTACTGCCAGAGCTTATGTTAAATATATTGTGTGTGTGTGTGTGGGATGTAAATATTAAATGTGTCAAGAGCTTTGTTTCCAACAAAACCAGTTTTGTGATTAGGAACATCTTTGCTGAGCAATGAAAATATTTAAGAAAAAAAGGAAAGAAAAAAAGGTAGATTAAAAATTTAGTAAAAAAAGAGAATAAAGAAAAATAGAGATCAAAGAAAAAATTCAAATTCAGCTATTTATTGCTTTTTTATTTTTATATTTCGACATTTAAAAAAAGAAAAAAGGAGAGGATTGCTTACGCAATTAGTTACATTCATCTTGTTTTCATTTTCCAACAGAATAGATGCGGAAAGAAATTTGTTCTAAGGTATAAAAACATAATGTGACTTTATTAGTCATGCAACCTAATCTCTTCTATTTGTAATTAGATATTCCATTGTTATGGTAACACAGATGCTATTTAACATTATCATAAAAGTGGAACTCTTTTACACTGCAAAATAACATGTGGCAATAGAATTAATAAA